TTTTTCTCCCTCCCTCCCTCCCTTTATTTTTTTATTTTATTTTATTTTATCAAGACAGTGTTTCTTTGTGTAGCTTTGGAGCCTGTCCTGGAACTCCCTCTTAGACCAGGCTGTCCTCAAACTCACAGAGACCCGTCCGCCTCTGCCTCTGCCTCCCAAGTACTGGGATTAAAGGTGTGAGCCACCAACGCCTGGTCAATCAAGGAAGTTTCAATCAGCAGGTCAGCTTATAAAACACAATTTCTCCCAAGAACTGTTGCTCACACATCACCTTTGAGTCAGCTATTATCGTAGGCACAGAGGATGCGCTGGCTTTCAGAAAACAGGTCTCCTGGGAGACCCTGCATGCTGTGGTCCAGGTTGATACTGTACCTATCCTATCAAAGATCCAGGCTGCTTCTGTCTCACTGTTCTGTACCCTCTCATAGACCCTGGTGGCTGCCAGTTCCAACCATCAGATCCTGCTGTTGGCAGATACTCACCCTGCAGCCAGCAAGAAGCAGGGGAAGAGAAGTGGAGGACCCAACCAGAGCAGCAGACCCCTGGCCTCCCACACCAGCCCTCATTCTCACTCCTCTTTCCTCTTGCTTCTGATCTCTGGAGCGTTATGGGGGGGGAACTGAGAGGGAGGGGACAAGAAAGAGCTAGGCCATGTTATGGAATACTGTCCTCTGACTGTGACATGACCATTGTCATCTAAGTCCAAGCAGCTGATCCCCCTCACTCATATGATCTTCACAGGACCGGCCTATTATCGTGCCCTTGTTGGTGGGGGTGGGGGCTGTCATTAGACCCTAACCTCAGAGTCCAACCACGTCTATTCTCCCACTTGTAACTCTATTCCAGATGCACAGGTCGCAGGAGGGGCTGGAGTAGAGGTGGGAAGTTGGTTGAGTGTGTGTGGGGGACCAGTCTCATCTATTCAGCTTTCAAGACAGCTGTTTTTCTTCCTCAAGGCTTCATGTTTGATGACTGTGTTTGGGGTTGGAGACAGTGGCCCAGGTTTGGGTGAGCTGCTACCTTCTTTGTCTCAGTCCCACACAGAGCTCTGCTCCCCACCCGGGGTCCGTGGGAAGAGGTGTCCTGCCAACTCTGTCTCGTAGATCACTATAATCCTGCTCCCCGGTGCCTCTTCCCTGTCTGACTGGCTAGCCAGCAATAGAGCCGGGGCCCATATCCAACCACCTTAGTCACTGTCCCTACCCTTGGCGTTTATGGGTGCTTGGGGCCTCATAAAGCTCAAAGGTTGCAAACAGTAGTAAAGAGGCCCAGTTAGCTTGGCTTGGGCAAGCTGCAGAGGGATGTTGGGCTTCATCTCCTGGCGCCTCTCACCGCTCAGAACATGAAACATCAAATTCACTGTGAACCTCCCCTCTGACAGATGCCGCTTCCTGGGTCCTGCGTACATGACTGGGTATATTTCTGCAGAACACAGGCTTGGGAGTGGGGAAATGTGTTCAGGAGAGAACTCTCCCTGCTCATCAATATATGAAATCCATTCCAGCTATTTCCAAGTCGTACAGGATGGATAGATGCAAACAGTCCCTCCAGGAGAGCCTCCCTGTCCTCCATACCCCATGCCCCTCCACCTGCCTTTTCCATCCTGATCTCACATTGTAGCTGAGACCTTCTAAGACCCACCTTTAGCTCACCTCTCTTTTGTTGATTAACAAGAAAAGACAGTCGTCAGCCCTTGTCGATACACGAATGGGGACCACAGTTTTTTTCTTTTATGCTGTTCTGAATATTACTTTTCAGTGAGGAAAGCAGAATTCAAACCTCATCAATGAAGCTAGAGTTGGCTCAGTAGGCTTGCCTGTGAGCTTTGCAAGCCCGAGGACCAGAATTTGAACGCCCAGGTCCTGGGTTAAAAGCCAGCATTGTGCTGCCTTAGTGACATGTCAGTTGTCTGTTCTTCTCCGTGGTCTGTGATGCTGCTAGCTCACACGGTTGGCTAGGTTTTTCAGTACCAGACATGATTCCCCTTTTGGTGAACAGACCTCAAGTCTAGTTGTGTCTCCTAGAAATGGCAGAGAAGCTACATCCACGAGGCTGCATCAACACAACAATTTATTGCTTAAATAAGACCTGAACAATGACGGCACCCATAGACTAATATGGTCCCAATCTTAGACAAGTAACTACAGGCAGCTACAGAATGCTGAGAATGGGGAAAATAGTCTTCCCCAGGAAAAATCCCTCCCTGGTTAGTTATTCAATACCAAATGGCCAGTACTGAAAACATACACACAAGTAACATTTGGAGGGACTGAACAGGCTGTGTTTATATAGTTAGGAATATATACATGCATATGGAACAACAATTAAAGAAATAAAAATCATGAATTTGAGAGAGATCAAGCGAGGGTGGGAGGGAGGAAAGGAAGGGGAAAATAATGTAATTATATTTTAATTAAAAAAAAAAAGAGTTGAGTATGGTTCATATGCCTGTAAACCCAGCATTTGGAAATGCTAGTTGGAGACTGCGGATCCAGGTACGCTCCAGGGCCCACTTCCCTGGACTGTGTGGCCAAGTTCCAGGGCTCATCGCTAGCGTCTACTGACTGGGTGGTGCTTCATCTGTCCGGGCTGCACCTCAGTTTACTGAGAAGAGAGCTTTGCGGGGAACTCTAGATCACACAGATACGAGTTTTGGGGCTCTCCAAAAACCGTGGGCTCAGAAGCCTTTCTTCCAGACTCCGCCCACAAAGGCCCGCCCCTCCGGTTATTTAACTCTGGTTCCACGCACCCGGTTTGCAGAGCGCGGTCTTATCCTGGCCGGAAGGAGCCACCCACAGCGTTTCTCACTCTCCATTGGCTGAGAGCGGCGGCGGGGGCAGGCCCAGGCCTACGATTGGCTGTTGGAACAAGGTTGTCCCGAGGCCCCGGCGGCCGGCGGGCGCTAAACGCCATGGAAGTCCCGTCTGTGCTGACCCGGGGGGCTGTGCAGCGGAGGGGCCCCAAGTCCCCGGAGAAGCAGGAGCAGGACCAGCCGGGACGGAGACCGGGGAGGCGAAGGCCGGGGCGGAGGTGCGCACGGCTGGGCTGAGCTCCGGGTCTGGGCCCGGGGTGGCCATGCTGCTTGTCCCTGTGTCCCTGCACAGTGCGACACTGTCACTTCTCGCGGTGGGCTCCCTCCATCCCTGCGTCCCTCTGTCCTTCCATCTATGGCCGCCTACGGGCCACCCGAGCAAGCTAGCAACGTCCCTGGGCCATGACAGACCCTGTCCCAGCCCACCGGGTGCCGTCCCGGTAGCCTGGCGCCATGACTACCGTACCTTTCTTTGGCCCTGTAAATCAGGCATTGCCATACATGGATGGCTTTCTGTTAGGCTGATATTTGAACTGAGACTTTCGGGAAGAGGAGGACCGCGGTTAGTGGCTATCCACGTGGGAGGATCACAATGAGCAAAGGCACAAAGTCAGGAGTGGACAGACAGACATGTCCCTTAGGTCTGGGGATTTGTTCCTTTGGGGTTAGTAACATCCTGGTAAGTGGGATACTGGGAAGGGTATCAGCGCAGACTTGACCTGTCTCGTTCTGTTTTTAGACCCACAGTTGTGAGACAGCTGGGCCATTCAGACGATAGTGTGGTTGCTGGGTAGAAGGTCTCCCAATCCGGTCCTTTCCTTCTTTCTGGAGGAATTCTAAGGTGACAAAGATGAACAGGGGTAGGCAGGATTGCTCTGAGTTCCTTTGGGTGCAGCTGAAGGGTAAAGAAATCAGCCAGGGAAGGGCATCTGGAAGAGAAGAGTCTGGAAATGAGATTTGAAAGGGGATGATTTACATGGCCCGATGACACAGGCCTGTGTTATCCGACTACTTGAGAGGGTGAGGTAGGAGGCTCACAAGTTTGAGGCCAACCTGGTTTAGCCAGGCTGTGTCTTCAAATAAGAAAAGAAGGTCTTGAGATGGAATTATGGTAGAGCACTTGCCGAGGATGTGGGAAGTCCTGAGTTTGAGTCCTGGCACCACAGGAAAAAGAGGGTATCTCCATTTTATCTCCAGACACCTGCTGCTGTCTGGCCGTCTCTGTAGTTCCAAGGGCTCCTCAGTTTAATTGCAGAGGTCCTGGGTCAGTGATTGGTGACTGATCCTGTGGAGGGAACTTAAGTCACTGCTGAGGCTTGGGCCCTGGGAGGTTTAGATGCCTGGGGGGGGTCCCTAAAAGGTTACTATGTATCTTCTCACTATTAAGATGATACTTTTAAAAACATAATAACAAACAAATGAACGCTTCCTCAGACATCGCTTCTTCATGAAGCCAAGGTACTCTTCCTTGTCATTATCTCCATTGGTGGACAGCGGGAGCGCTGTGAGTGGTCCATGCCCCTGGGTGTGGACAGAAGACAAAGCCTGCTTCTGGCCTCTCAAGGCCTTCAATTTTGCAAGTACTTGAAGACCCTATGTATTCCTTGGCCGCAGAAGGCCTGTGGCCCTAAGAAGTACCTACCTTGGGGTTCTCAGTGTGTGATTTGCCTGTTGGGTAGGGAAGGTGTTTACTCAGGTGTGGACTGCTATTGGCGCCTGTCCAAGCAGAAGCAGGCCCTGGTAGCTAATAAATAAGATGAGCCCTAGCTGCCCAGTCTCTGGTTCCATGCATGCCTCTGGTGTAGGTTTTATAAACCATGTCCCGAGATAGCTAACCATTTGCTTCTAACTGTTAGTTACCCTTTAGGGGGGCTGAGAATACAGCTCAGGTGATAGCTCACTTAATGTGCTTAAAACTTAGTTCAGTCACCAACACAACATAATGGAGCACCCCTGAGGCCCCAATGCTTGAGAGGTGGAAGGAGAAAGAGTAGAAATTCTGTGTTGCCCTTGACTATGCAGTCAGTTCCAGACTGGCCTGGATGACACAAGACTTTGTATCAAAAACAAAAACAAGTTAATCTTTTAAAAACCCACCCTTTGCCTAGGATCAAAGAGGACCAAGAAGAGGAAGCGATTTTTAGAGATGTGGTCAGTTTCAACCCGGACCCTTTACCAGGTGAGGTGACCAAGGCCCCCACTGTGGTCATTGCACCTTCCCTCCCCCTGGTCTGGTAAAAGCATCCGCATGAATTCCCTGATTGCCACCATTCCTTACTGTCTCCCTCTGTGGACCAGCTAGATATTATGACAAGGACACCACCAGACCTACCAGCTTCTACCTCTCATCCCTGGAGGACCTCCTGGCCTGGACCCCCATCATGGAGGATGGCTTCAACGTCGCCCTGGAGCCCCTAGAGCGTCGTCAGCCCCCACTGAGCAGCCCCAGGCCCCGGACCCTGCTGTGCCACGACATGATGGGCGGGTACCTGGAGGACAGGTGAGGTTCCTGACATAGCACTGGTCTCATTGCTGGCCGTCCTAGCATGGGAAGATGGCGGCAGCTGGAGTTGGGAAAGGAGGTTCTAGACGGGCCCTCTGCACCTCAGGGAGAGAAACTCAGTCCTATAGGTTAACTTCACATGGCAGAAGCAAGTTGGAGTTGGGTGAGTGTGTGTCTGTCTTAGCTACATAGATGGTTAGCTCCTCAGGCTGCCCCTGAAGAGGATCACCACCCGTGTCTCCAGGCCTCCGGGCCCATCAGCCATGTCCTCATTTGGTGTGTGTGTCCGTAGCCCTTCCCCTAAGCTCTGTCCTCATTCAGATCTCTTGCCTCTGGCTTCCTGGGCTTCCTCTCTCTCAGCTATGCACAGGTTAACTAGAGTGATACTTTAAACGTCTAGAGGACAGTCTTAGACAGAGTGATAGGAAGCTGAGTCAGAGCCAACGGCCCACTCTGGGGCCTGGCCGGCCTGCAGACACAGGGAGACGCAGGCACTGCTGACCCTGCGCCTGGGACGGAAGCCAGAGACAGGGCCTGTGCCCAGCCTTTCTGCTTCCTTCTCTTTCATCTGCTCACAGAGGCCAAAGTGCTGTCTGTGCAGATCCAGCGGCCCGTGCCAGCTCCCTGCCCAGTGAGTGAGCCCTCCCCAGACACACGAGGATGTTTGAGATTGGGTCTTACTCTGTAGTTTAGTCTGGTAGAGAACTCACTACGCTGCCCAGCCGGCTTCCACCTCCAGTCCCTCTGCCTCAGGTGCCTCCATGCCTAGCCCCCTCCTCAGGATTCTTTGTGGGTCTGTGTGTGTATGTGGAGGCCGGGGTACAACCTCGGCTATTTTTCCTCAGACACTGTCCACCTTCTTTTTGAGATACACTTCCTCAGTGGCCTGGAACTCATTAAGTAGACAAGGCTGGCCCATCTGTCACTCTCCTCCTTCCCATCCCTGAGAGTACATGCACACTCTACCCTACCTGAATTTTTAATTTTTTTTTTTTTTTTTACTAAGTCGGTTCTGGGGATGGAACTCCCTGCAAGGCAGGCCCTTTGCTGGCTGCCACCCCAGCTCCTGCTCCTGGCTGCTCTCGACAGAAGAGCCTCAGGTAGTTCCTGCTCTCGCTCCTCCCACACAGGGTCTCACCCAGCAGGCTTTCAGAACTGGGGTGTGACACCTCACCCAAGGCTGCTCTCTCCCACCCACCATCAGTGTCCTGATTCTGTCTCCTGGGACCTGACTCTGTCCCATGTCTTCCAGGTTCATTCAGGGCTCGAAGGCGCAGAACCCCTACTCCTTCTACCACTGGCAGTACATCGACATCTTTGTGTACTTCAGCCATCACACGGTCACCATCCCCCCTGTGTGCTGGACCAATGCTGCCCACCGGCACGGGGTCTGCGTGCTGGGTAAGAGCCAAGCGGCTGGTGTGCCTGTTGGGTGATCCTGTGACATAGCTGTGCCCGTGGGTCAGGACGGGTGTCTGGACATTTTCCCAGGGAGGACCAGATGGCATCTATTTTTAGCTATGGCCCATCGGTCATTGTGGTGGTGAGCAGAGGGGCCATACTGTGTTCCAGAAAAGCCCTGCTTACATACATGAGTAGTGGTTGCATCTGGCCCGAGGCCACAGTTTGCCATCCACTGGTTCAGACCAGTGCCTCTCCAGCTTCATCCTGCATCCCCTGTGACCACATCTCAGAGGACCACTGGTAGAATGTCTACATCCTCCTATAGTCCTGATGTCTAGCAAGCACACTTGGGCAAGCCCCAGGTCAGAGGAGAGCCGTCCCTGCAGCCGTTTCTATCTCTTGTCTCACAGGGACCTTTATCACAGAGTGGAAGGAGGGTGGCAAGCTCTGTGAATCCTTCCTGGCTGGGGATGAGCGCTCCTACCAGGCGGTGGCCGATCAGCTGGTCCAGATCGCTCAGTTTTTTTGTTTCGATGGTTGGCTCATCAATATCGAGAACTCCCTGAGTGTAAGTGCTGCAGCCGTATCTGGCGCTGCAGCCGTGTTCTGGCGCCTGCCCCTCCACCCGTTGCTTTGCAGACCCTTCTTGCTTGCTTCCCCTGTCTTGATTCCTTGCTCTACCCTCACCCCTTTGCATGACCCCTCTTGCTCCGCACCCAGGCCCTAGCCCCTGGTAGCAAGACCCACTTCTCGTGTCCCAGCTGGGGCCACCAGTGCCATCTCTGGCTGCTAGTCCTGAGCTCCGTTGGCTTTGCTCTGCTTGCCTCCCTCCTCAGTGTGGTCACACGCTTTCTCTCCATCCCTGCTTTGGGCTTGTGTGGCTTTTCTGTGGTCCTGGCCCCTTCCCTTGCTTTTTATCTTTTCCTGAGTTCCAGGCTATTTTCTTTCCTGTCCTTCCTATCCTGTGGCTGTAGGACAAGGGGCATTTCTGACAGGGCTGGCTCTTATGGCCTCCCTTCTCCACCATACTGCGTTATTTCTCACGACAGACATGCCCAGCCTTGCCAGAGTCTGATCTCCCTTCCCCCCTTGCAGCCGGCTGCTGTGGGGAACACACCCCCATTTCTCCGGTACCTGACTACGCAGCTCCATCAGCTGGTTCCTGGAGGTCTGGTGCTCTGGTATGACAGCGTGGTACAGAGCGGGCAGCTCAAGTGGCAGGATGAACTCAATGAACAGAACAGGTGAGCGCCAGGGGCGGCCGTGCAGGAAGAGGAGCTGGACAGGTTACAGGGCATCCTGTGTGGGCAGCTTTGGGTCAGAGGGAGCAGGTGTGATCAGTACCCACGGGGCTGGACGCGGCAGAGTCTGGTCTTGGGCAGCCCCAGTCTGTGGGTTCTGTGTGGCCCTGAGCATCAGGGAGGCTGACAGCTGATGAGTGTCCCGTCCAGCTGTGCATGGCCTCAGCTGGTCCTTGCCACCTCCCAGGGTTTTCTTTGACTCCTGCGATGGCTTCTTCACCAACTATAATTGGCGGGAGGACCACCTGCAGAGGATGGTGGCGCAGGCGGGGAATCGCCTGGCTGACGTGTATGTGGGTGTGGATGTGTTTGCTCGGAGCAATGTGGTCGGAGGCCGTTTCGATACTGACAAGGTAGGTGGTGGCCTTTTCACCGCACAGGGCTACTGGTCTGCACACCCTTGGTGGCCTCTTCTTTGGGGACCTTCTGTTCTTATTAGTACCACAGAGGAAAGAAAGAGCAACTGTTCCCTGAGAAGGGTTTCTCTGTCTAGCTATGGCTATCCTGGAACTTGCTCTGTAGACCAGGCTGGCCTCGAACTCACAGAGATCTGCCTGCTTCTGCCTCCCGAATGCTAGGATTAAAGGCGTGCGCCACCACTGCCCGACTCCGTTTGCTTCCACTCTTGAATCATCCCCCAGATGCCGATTTCCCTCCCCTCCTGGGCTACGTGCTTTGGAGCGCGTTGAGTGACTTCTCACGTCACTTAGACAGAGGGAATGTGTAGGAGTTGTAGTGACAGAGGTGAAGCATCCGTGTTTGGGAACAGTGAGATTTTTCTGGCCAAGTCAGCTCAGCAGGGAGGAGAGGTGACCCAGTTCCTGTCTGTAGGTCCAGAGGGAAGCTCTAGATGAATCATTTGACCCAGGGCCCTGGTTTTACTTCCGTTGTGATCAAATGCTCTGATTAAATGCAACAGGTTACAGTTCCAGGCTCCAGCCCATCAGTGTAGGGAAGTCTGGGCGGCTGACACAGCACCGTCCAGATCAGAGGGAAATGAAGTCAATGCTGGCTTATTCTCAGCTGGCTCTCTTCTCCCCCACCTCTCATTATTTTTGGGACAGGGTCTTTCTGTGTAGCCCTGGCTGTCCTGGAACTTGCTGTGTAGAACACACTTTCCTTGCCTTCCCCGTCTCTGCCTCCTGGGATTAAAGGTCACCCCGCCCAGCTTTCTCCTCTTTTATATTGTTCAGGACTTCCTTTCCTAGGGAATGGCACTGCCTCCAATGGGCTAGGTCTTCCTACATCGATCAACAAGATGGCACTCTCTCAGACACGCCCACAGGCTAACCCAGATTCCCAAGTTATTCTAGTTGTGCAAGGTGACAGTTAATACAAAGGAGCACACAGTCGCCCAGCCCAGTGACTCTACCTGCTGTGATTCTCAGGGGAGAAGAGGGAGGGGGAGGTGGAGAGTCCCAGTGAGTTCACTGCTCTGCCCTCCACGACAGCACCATGACTGAGTCTGCCATGTTTTCAGTTGTTTCTTCTTTAGCTGGCTTGTGGGACAACAGGGATGAAGCCCAAGACCCTCTGCTTGGAGTTGTGAGAGAGAGCTTTCCCTAGCTGGCCCTAAGAGATCCTTCCCTGGGAGCTGGCCTCCAATCCTGCCTGGACTCTGGTCCCAGTGTGCGACATCTCCCTCGTTTCTGTCTCCCCAGTCACTGGAGCTGATCCGTAAGCACGGCTTCTCGGCGGCGCTCTTTGCTCCTGGCTGGGTGTATGAGTGTCTGGAGAAGAGTGAATTCCTTCAGAACCAGGACAAGTGAGTCCCCAAGGGCTTTGCCTGGACCGGCAGGAGAGGGGGCATTTCTGCTGCTGTGGGTACCTGGCATGGCTCAGGTCTAACTGTATAATAATCCTCTCCAATGGGGTGGGACTGGAGGGCAAGAACAACATGGATGCCCTGGCAGCCCCGACAGGATGCTAGAGACCACCTGGGCAGGAGGGAACGGAGGATGAGAACCACTTCCTGCCCATGTCATCTGGCCTGTCCCTAGCAGGGTGCCGCAGACTCCCCAGCTCCACAGGGCTGCAGGGAGGTGGAGCACCCCCTCACCCCAACTCCCTGTGTCCCTGTCAGATTCTGGAGACTGCTGGAGCGCTTCCTGCCCACACACAGTATCTGCTCCCTGCCCTTTGTCACCTCTTTCTGTCTGGGGCTAGGACCTCGAAGAGTATGCTACGGCAAGGTGCGGTCGGGTGCTGAGGACAGGGTGGGAAAGTGGGCTTCTCTGTGTCTGGCTCTGGCTGGGATGGGCAGGAGAGAGCCAACGGGTGTGAGCCGGAGTGTTATGTATGGCCTTTCTGTCCCTACCTCCATGTTCTCTTTGCCTCTGCAGAGGAGGCTCCTGCCCCTGTTCCATTTCTCACTCACTCTGTCGACCAGGTTGACCTTGAACTCACAGAGATCTGCCCGTCTCTGCCTCCCAAGTGCTGGGATTAAAGGCATGCGCCACGACCGCCCAATCTTTTTGTCACTTTTCCTCTTTCTTCAGGAGCAGGCAGTGGGGTCCTGGTACCATCCTAGTGCCCAGGAGACCCAGCCCCTCTTTGGCGAACATAAACTGGCTGGAGACAGTGGGGGCTGGGTGAAGACACACTGCTGCCTGGCTGACGCCTGGCACGGGGGCAGCTCTCTGTTGCTCCGGGGCCTGATCCCGCCTGAGCTTGACAACGTAGCCGTGAGGTGGGTGAGTGATGGCTGAGGTGTGTGGGTCTCCGCCTTCTGTCCTCTGGGTCTGCGGCTAAATTAGGCAGAGGGTCTGCCAGAGCCAAGTAAGGAGCAGTCAGACCTCAGATCTTTTGTACAGTGTTCAAACGCATTTCACAACGCCTCTGCAGCCTGCTTCAGTGTTGCATGACTGTGTTGTTTGGGTACAGTGTCATGCAGGAGTTTGAAACAGCCCACCGAGTGGCACTTCCCAGCACGTGGCTGCCTTAGATGGTGCATGGGAGGAAATTAGAACCAGGGCCTTGCAGTCTGCAGCAGAGTCTGGCTATAGGAAAGGCCAGGCCCTAGCCACGGTAGGGAGGGAGGGGCAGGTGGAGGGTCTGCGGCCTCTCTTCCACCTCTCATGAGCTTTCTCTCCTCCAGGTTGTTCTCCTTGCAGGTTCCACTGCCACCCAAACTCTTCCTGTCAATGGTGTACAAGTTTGAAGGCTCAACTGATGTTCAGGTGGCTTTGGAGCTTACAACAGGGGATGCCAGCAGCTGCCATGTGGGTGGCATATCGGTGCTGAATGGTGAGAGGCTGGGTGACTTCCTGGGAAGGAGATGGCGAGGGCCCTGGCTTGGGGTGGAACTGGTGTGGGTGGGGCTGCTGTGGGCGGGGATGGGTGGTTACCACCTAGGGTGGAATCTGTGGTTTGTGGTCACAGAGATGTTAGACAGGGGTCTCCTAACCCCTCTCTACTGCCCTCCCCAGGGGTCTCCTAGACCCCCTTCCCTCCACTGCCCTACCAGGGGTCTCCTAGACCTCCCTTCCCCGCACTGTCCTGCCAAGTAGACATTCTGCCCCTCTTGGGTTTTCCTGTGGGATTCTCCTTTCTGAAGCCCATGTCTTCTAGCAGATTCTGGCTCAAGGCACAGTCCCCGACCCCTCCGGGTGCCCCCCACCAAGCTGGCCAGGTGGGGTGGCCGTTGTGGCCAGCAGCTCAGTGGGGGCTGGATTCAATGGTGAGTCCCTTTCCTGTCAGGTCCCCTTAAGGCAATGGGCACACGTGGAGGAATGTAAGGAGCAGGAGTCCCCCACTGAGAACACTGGAACAAGAGGGAAGGAGAGACCTTGGTTTGACCCTCGAGTTTTTGCAGCAGTGAGACAGACCAGAACATTCCTTGCAGGAACCTGCTGTAGTCTGGGGCCCCATGACCTGGGGTACCCCTGGGATGCTCCCTGCTTCCTGCTGTGGCTGAGGCCCTCCCCATAGCTGGCTTGTGAGTGGCTTGTGTATTTTTTCAGCTGCTATGAGGTGAGCCTGCATGGATGCCTGCTTCAGGACCTCTTGGTGAGCTTCTCACGGCCACCTGGCAGCAGGGAGGAGAAGGGCTTCATTTGTCGCCTTGGAGAGATCCAGGTGTGTATGTGGGAACTGTGGGGAGAAGGAAGGGGTATATGGGGGCATGTCTGGGTCCCGGGTGAGGAAGGGGTGGATGGAGGCTGAGGAGTGCCTCCCTGGGCATTTAGCCAGCCAAACCTCTCTCCTATCAGGTGGTTGATGCCAAAAGCCTGCTGGCCCCTCTGCCTCGGGTGCAGAAGGTCACCATCTCCCAGCTCCGCTGGCTCCCGCTGATCTCTGGATCCGAGGGCCGACCTGCCCAGCTCCTTCTCAGCTGCACTCTCCAGTGGTCCTTCCACCTGCTCCAAGCCAGGTGCTTCCAGATTCACTGCCGGGAACAGACAGGAAGCAGCTCTGCAACAGACGGGACTGAGAAGCTAACGTTCCTGGGCCTGGCTTTTGCCAACCAGTACCGTGTGGTGGACTTGGTAGTGGGGGCTGCTAGATTTGGGCAGGATGGTCGTGTGGAGTTCCTGGTGGAGCCTGTCCCCAGGGAGGGCTTCCAGGTGCCTCAGGCTGAGTGGGGCAGGGCGGCCCTAATCTACTCAGCCCCTCAGTGAGCCCATCCCAGAGCATGGTACCCTTCTTGCCTCAAGACTCGAGGTTTCCTCTTGGTCAACCACCCAGGGCTGAGTGGACCACTGAGTATAGCTGGGTCCCCAGGTCTCTAGGCTCTGGCTGTGCTCCCAGGGAGCTCTGCCCTGTGGGTGCTCCAGGTGAGTTACCTAGCACCCACATCCTTCTGTGTAATGCCCTCCATGGGATATAGGACTCAGGGGAGAAGGAGAGCGCTTGAAGTTTCTTTCAGAAGGTTCAGTAAAGACTACCACTCACAGTCTGAAAAGATGCTTCTGTTGGTAATGGTGGCCATTTATCCCCGCAGCTTTGACAATCAGAGACAAACCTCACTGGTGGCAGTAAGGACCCTGAGAGGCCAGGATTTGTGATGCTCCCTGAAGACTGAGGCAACACCCCTCAGGGTTGGAGTGGGAGTCGGGTACTCACAGGGTAGCTGGGATGGTGCCCCCTAGGACTAGGAGCTCCATCTGGTAGGCATTGGCACCCCCCCCACCTGTACAAGGTGGGCCAGTCACACATCAGACTACCCGTGTGGATGGCGGCTTTGGCAGCTAAATGTCCCCTGCCTGTGCACAGGCTGTCTGCCATGGTGAAGGTGCAGAGGCATTAGGTACCACTAGGCTTCTTCCCCTGCGTCTCCTAGAGATTGGTGAGCCTTACCTCCCTCCAGGTGCGGCTACATCTTTAGCTGTACAGAGCCCTGTTGACATTGGGCTGCATGGAAACCACCCATGGTGTATCCGGGTCTTGTGCTTCATGCTCAGGCCACGATCTCTCTCATCCCTTCTTGGTTCATACATGGGACCCTCTTTGACACAGCTCTGGGGTCTGACCTGTGGATGCCAGAGCAGTCTGTCGCCATCCCCCAGAGGTGAAGGGGCTGGATGGGTGGGGCTTCCTCAGAGTCCTGCCTGAGTACCAGGCAAGGACAAGGGTGGCTCCTGCCTGTACGAGTTGATGCTTCTGCCCATCTTCCCTGATTCTGTGGGCACTCTGTCTCTCATGAGTGACACCTATAAGGGTGAGGACCTAGAACCATTTCTGCCCTGTTTCTCCTGTGATTCTATCAGCTCTCATAGGGACAGAGGCAGGACAGGGCCTCTGGTAAAGTCCAGGCTACTCCTGTACCCTGGCATGTGGCCACCAGCCTTGCAAGGTGGGAGAGGAGCACCCAGGACTGAGATGGCCGTGCTTTCTCTGGTCTGTTGCGGGAACCTGCCCCCAGAGCCCTGGCTTCCCTAGTCCCAGTCTGGAGTGGAAAGTCCATGGGCGACAGGCAGGGCAGGTGGTGGGTTCCGGGGCAGTGCAGCATTCCCGAATACCCTGCTTCCCTTATGGTACCGAGGTCACTTTTTAAAAGTGCTGGTTCCTTCAAATATTTTATGCAGAGAAGGAGGGAAAATTTATAGTGGCAATTATTTTCTTACAGTCTGGTGAGCAAGCAATTAGAAGTAAGGGGGCTTAGCAGAGCGTGGCGTGAGGCAAAGCCGCGCAACCCCTCTTCCCAGGAGCACGGTCCCCAGTCCCGGCAACACTGACTCCTGCGCAGGAAAATTAATCTGCCGGCATTTAAGCCCGGGCCCCTCTGGTGGATAAAATCACTTGGAAATAAATTATCCAATGTGAAAAACGAGAAGGCAAGTCTTGGTGTGATCCGGCTCTCGACCCCAGCCCTGAAGTTCTTGGTTTGGATTCTGCGTCTCTCGTGGCAGATCTCAGCCCCTGCCTTAACTGCCCCCCACTACTGTTCTTCTGCCACCTCTTTCGGGCTCAAGGCTGGGCCGCACATTCACCTTGGAATGAATGAAGGGCCACCGTTGAGGGCGTCCACACCATAATGGCTTCACTCCCTATCCTGGCTCTGTAACCTTACATTCAGTCAACACCACGGCTGGGGAATACCTACCATGCCCCTGCTTCCTTAGGGGCAACTGGTAGAAGCCTTTGGGGCTGCTCTGCTCCACGAGTCTGTCTTGGGGCAGGCGCAGAGGCCAGCCTGAAGAAGGGGGCTGGAACTTCTCAGGTATTTGCCCAGAGGGTCCCCAGCCTCCCCACTATCACCTGCTTATCCTAGGGCTGGGCCCCAAACCCCAGACCTTGAGTGCTTCCCCCAGCCCCCTGTGCAGGGAACTGCTAAATCAGAAAAAGCCATCCTGGTTTGAAGAAAGAAATCTTTATTAATCTTAATAGTAATACTGTTACTTTGAATGATCACACCGTGGAAGCATACAGAATGGTAAGAAAGGAAGCCTGGGGCTCGGCTGCAGTCCTGGGAGAGGGGCTGGGATGAGGGTTCCGAGCTGCTGTGGGAAAAGGGTCCGAAACAGCAGAAGGCGAGGGGCTCTGTACAGAGGACAGAGCCGGAGGCAGGCGCAGGGCTATGTACAACAGGAATAGAAAAGGAGGGTCCCGTTTCCATAGCTTCGGTGGCTGATGCTGGATAGAAAGTGAGGTGATTTATTTTGAGGTGTCATGAGACAGTGGTGCCGCGTCGGGAGCCATGGTTTCTGTTATTTTTATTTTTATTTTTTGCTGTTAATCCTACTCCACCTATCCCGGCCTTGCCAGGGGCTTCTTTGCTACCTGTCCCTTGTGCCATCCACTGGGCCTGCTGCTTTCCTATGACACCACTATTCCTGCCCAGGGAGTGAAGGGGCTGCAGCCCCGTTGGCCTTCCCTGCGGCGGGGCCAGCCCAGACCGTCCCCGTTCTTTGCCTTCCCCATGGGTCCTGCTCTGACCGTGGCCCTCCAGACCCTAGCACCTTGACTCCCGGCCTCGAGGTGCAGCCCAGGGCTGGCCCATCCGCCATCGCCTGCTCCCTAGCAGAACTGAGCCCACAGGAGGGAGCAGGAAGGAGGCTGGGTCCTTCTTCAGGAAGGCTGTGCTCCAGGGCCCACCTGTCCACGCTTAACAGCAGGAGGACTGGGTCCCTGCTGGCTGGGCCTCCTTCGTTCTCTGTAGCTGGAAGCTTTCTCACATAGGGGAGCGGGAGCATGGGGTGCTCCAGAGTCCTGGAGCCATGTCAGCCCTTTGCATTGGGAGTTGGACCCCAGGGCGGCTGGTTGGACAGCTGACGCACTGGCAGCACATTCAGTGAGGCCAGGCTGGAGACCTGGGATGAGTGACAAGCCGCCATTGGCCCCTAACTGCCTCCAGCCCCTCCAGGGCTCAGCAGGCAATAGCCCAAGTCAGCTGGCTGCTCCTTCTCAGGGGCCTGCTCCACCCTAGGAACCCCCTGCCTGGGGAGCAGGGTGGGAAAGGAAGACTGGGTAAGATACCGGAGCCCCCCGCCCCACACCCACGGGCCACATTTCCCCTCCAGGTCTTCCCCAGCGCCTGGCCGCATCCCTACTGCACCGCCAGCCAGGCAAGGCCACTCTCCGGCGCCCCCTGGGGGACGAGCTCCCTCGGTGCGGGCGTACGCCAGACGTGGACTTGGACTTGGACTTGGACTTGGTTGGATGCCTCTTGGTTTGGTTGGAATTTTTTGTTGTTGTTGTTGCTGCTTGGATCTTAACATCTTTTTTTGTTTTGTTTTTTGTTTTGTGATTTTTTTTGTTTTTTTGTTTTTGCCCTTCATGGTCCGAGAAGGAGACGGTGGAAGGTTTCACTACAACAGAAACAGAAAGGGAAGGGCTTGCAGTTTCTGAGGGGTAGCTGCAGCACATGGGGCCACTGTACCTGTGGGCTTGGGTCTGACCTGAAGCCACAGTGCCCCTAAACCTTTCCCCCACAGCTGGAGCCCCACCACAGGCTAGACATAAAGCAGACCATCTTGTAGGGATGAGCGGACCAGGTAGGATATGGTAGAGATCATGGAAGGAGAGGGAGCAGGGCTCTGTCTACAATGGGGCTAACAACTTTGGTTGCCTTGTGGTGCTAAACCCCCAGAGTGGAGGGACCAGCACCGGCTAGTTCTCCAGAGCTCTCGGCCTGACCTCAGGTGCCAACCTGCATACTCTCTGGGACTCTAGACAGTGGAGTTAGGTGGGTCCTCACTGGCCACAGAGGCACAGACATGCTAACGGAGGCCTGAGGAAGGAAGCGGACACATGTCCCTGGCCTGCTGACTGGAGCCCTTTCCTCTCCTGGGATGAACCTCGACAATAGGTATGTCGAGTCTCGTGATGGTTGTGAGGGGGCTCTGTAGGTCGAGGACAAACACCCGGCGCCATCAGCTTCAGGTGCCTGAGGAGGCAGTGAGGCTCAGGGAGGGTCTCCAGGGCCACCAATGCAGTGTGACCCTGGAGCAGGGACATTTCTGTAAGGAATCCCAGAGCTGGGGTGACCACAGCCGCACACACACAGAACAGTGTGCTTATGACTACCTGGACAGGAGGATAATTAGTAAACTTTAATAGAAACATTAACTTCAGCTGAGAGGAAGTCCAGAGGGGCAGCTACTCCTGACATTCCCGGTGAAAGGTGGATGGAGGCCCCTCCCACCGGGAAACTCACTGACGAGGCCTCTATCAGTCACCAAGCATGGGGGTGGCCAGGCCTGCAGGGGTTGACCGAGGTGACTCTGAGGGAGGTTTGGTGGCACTTCTGGAGCTCCGAGGGCCCGCGTTGCCCTGCGGCACAGGCATGGCCCTGGTAGGGCGACCTGCCATCCCCCCGGCCTGGCTCCCGCTGTACGCATACTGTACCTGAAGTGGCTTGTACAACACCAACAACGTCAAGATAGGAAACCAAGGTTCAGACATACAGGAAAACCAGGGTCAGAGACACACACACCGGCATGGGTGGGGTGGGGAGACCAGCTGGCTGGAGGTAAAAATCTATGGACTTTAGAGTCGCAGAGGGGTCAGCGGCGCGTGTTGCTGACCGGGAGGGGCGCACTGTCCTCCTGGTGGCTGTGTCTGGTGTTGGGAATGGAGGGTTTGGTTTGGAATAAGCAGTGGCATGAATGCTGTGAGGGGGGTCTCTTGCTAGTAGGGGGTGAAGCGGCTGTACCCTCCTCGGCAGAGGCTAGCCTGCAACATCAAAGATGAAAAACAGCCAATCAGTACCATCTTTCGGTATCGGGAGGAAAAAAATCAAAAAGAAAAAAAAATTAAGGAAAACCGAAAAAGAAAAAGAAAGAAATAGCTAACCCTACTTTCTTTCCCCCGATAGTATTTCCTTGGGAAGAATGGGTTTCCGGTTACCATGGCAATGGGGGGTGGGCTGGTTCCTGGATGGTGGTCTTGGGGCTGGGAGGGCTGATTCCCCCCCCTTGCAGACTTCTATACTACACTGTCTTTGGGCTCACTTCTTGGGGC